CTAAGTTACGTGCTTCCGAAACCTGTTCTATAGGCACACCGTTTATATTCACATTAAACCTAAAATTGGAAACTTCTGCAATCTGTTTCCTAGAACCAAATAACAGATACTTGGACTTCACGGGATTCAAAACTACACAGTTATTGAATGACCATGTAGCTGTATAGCTTAGCGTATGCTTAAGATCATTGTTTATGTGATCATTGTTTTTTATCAGAATTAGCGGATGATCTAAAGAAAAAAATATAATGCCGGTCTATTTAATTGCCATTATACATAATTTATAATAGCTTATGCGATACAAGAGATAAAATATTAAGTTTCCTTATATGTAATGTATTATATTATATTTGAACAGATTGTCTTTAATTAAAAGTTAGAGTTTTATAGAAATATACGAATTCGATTCCGCGAAATCGGTATGAAATTTCTACTTAATAATAAGACACTGTTTCCTTTATTAAAAATAATGCTATTTCAAGTACAAATTTATAAATCTCTCCAATAATCTTTTACTTTTACAATATGAACATATACTTTTTGACTAGTTATGGTAAATCAAAATGAAAACCCGACGTTTTCCTTAAAAACACTTAAAATAATGAATACCGATGACGATATTCTTCTGCCGCCGCTATCATTAAACAGGAACGAGATCTAAAAAAATAGTAAAGTAACACCCTATACATGTCCCACTGCTGGGCAAAGGCCTCCTCTGTACAGAGGGTATCAGGGCATAGTCCAACACGCGGCCCTACTGCGGATTGGCGGACTTCAAATATTTTTGAATTCGGCCTATGTTCGGCAGTGGAATCAAACAGGCTGAAATGATGATGAATCCGGTTTCCTCACGATGTTTTCCTTCATCGCTGAGCACGTGATAAGTCGGCACTTAAATTTAACAATTTCATTGGTGCCGGCACCGGGGATCAAACTCAGGTTGCTCGAGTATATTGAATTAAAGGCCCGGACATTGAGCTATCACGGCAACGAGATCTGCTGGTAAATAAAATAAATAACAAAATAAAAACGTGACCATGGACTATGCAAATTAGGCAAAAAGAAACGTGATAGAAACCCCAAAATAGTTTTATGAGGTTACAACACAAAAACATCGCGGTAACAACATAAAATCGTCTTACAGTAGTAGATCTTTCGATCGCTGAGTAACGTTTTAACGGTGGCAATTCTTTCGAAATAATTGCAGCCATTTTATAACCTACGTCATACAATTTCGGCCGTGGCGGGTTTTTTGGCGTGTAAAAAACAGTTAACATGATGACTGTAATTGTTGCCAGATGTTGCGATACGAATTGACGTAAGCGTACTGCTAAAACTAAAACCATGAACCACACACCAAACTATTTGAGTAGGACTTGCAATGTTGACGTCCCAAGTTTGAATCCGGAGCCCAAGACACGTGGTTTAGGTTTTATTTTTTTTAATTTTCTGCGCGGCCTAAAAAGCCCTATGGGTCTAAACAGTCTAGCTGAGACCTTTAACGCATTGGCTTTCTGCGTTAAGAATGCGTTAACGGTTGAGAAACTTCAGAGCTTATTTATTCATTTCACGTTAACCGTGATTTAAACGAATTTCCTAAAGGACTTCCTACATACCGCTTACAGGCGTTAGCAAAACGAAATTTTTGGTTTCGAAATGAAATGTGTCTTAGCTCGAATTTAGCAGACCCTTTAATATATAAAACTGGTATCTATTATATTTGATCTTCCTTTCTTGTATTATATCAAATTTAATTGAATTGCGTATTTCGTGTTGTTTCATGTTGTATTTTTGAAAATTTTATCGTAACTTTCTTTGATTATTTTTAATTTAATGTGCTTTTTATTTGCTGTTCGGTATGTTAACTAAATTTTCATAATTTTTACCATACATAATGATTTCTTCCTTTTGTTTTTGGGAAAAGACGAATTAATGTTAACTTAACTCGAATGTTAAACACTTTTGTTGTTATTATTCGTTGATAGCGCGGTAAAACCTGACGGGTTGCAGATGAGTTTCCGACATGAAAAGTGGGCTCCAGTTACGTCACTCACCAGACAAGATCGAAAGTATAATGCTACAGGTTTAAAATGAATCACGAAATTTGACTCGAACAGACATAGATAGATAAGAAAGCAATATTTTCATTAATCATCAATCAATTAAAATGCATTCTTATTTGTCTGTTGTGGTAATAAAAATTATATAATTGTCTGTTGGTATAGGATGAGAATGATACCAAAGAATTTGTACGATAGTTTCCATTATAAACATAATATTTATACGAGGCTAATTAGGCCACTAAATAACTGTGGTAGGGCCACGCATCATCTGACGACCCGAATTGCGCAGTAGGTAGTGTACCTGCCTCCTGCGCCAGAGGGTGTGGGTTCGATCGACTACTGGAAAAATATTGTGAGATGAACATAGTGTTGAACAAGCGTTGCTTAGTTTGGGACTGGAGAACGTTGTGTAAAAATTTTCCCTAAAAATATTTATTTATTCGCTGTTGCACGTACGGGCAGGTCCGTCCGGGGAAGTACCCGAACCTCTAAGAAGACCGAGGTAATTTTAGCCGGCTTTATTAAAATGTGACAACGCATCTACAACCCTACGGCTGTGGCAAATGTCCATGGGGATTATCACTTAACAACAGGTGACCCGCCAGCTCTCTTGTCAACTTCTAATGTAATAAAACTACGCTAATGCCTCACTCCGTTGACTTTTGGCCTGTGGTTCGACGTCCTTAGTTAGATGCCGCAAGAATTATGTGGTCGACCTTAGTTCGAGGACCATGCCGCTAGAATTCTGCGGTTTTTGGATCTTCACATTTCTTCAGAATTCATACGACTCTCTTAATAAGGTTGCGGACATTGTGGTTTGTGGTTATGCGCCTTAAAGCTTCGATTTCAAACCGAAAGTACAGCTCGCTAAGAATCTTCACAGCAACATGGTCTTTATCAGCTGTTGTGAAGTACCTTAATTTCGTAAGGTGTTTAATCTTAAAATTAAAATATCACGACTTCGATGTCGTAAACGAGAGTTTTGCGGTCGAGACACACTAATTGGAAGCATTGTTCGTATATATTTATTTTTTCTTAACATTGCCCTCACTTTAGGATAACATTATCCTGTGTTGTAAGGACGTTTTATAAACATAAATAGCATGAGGACAAACACCCAGATGCGAAACAACTATCTGTGGGTCGCAAAATAGTTGTTCCGTGTGGGAATCGAACCCACGACCCCCGACGCCGATGCCAATACCTTGGCAACTGCACCACGGAGTCATCGTCTGTCCGTCTTTTCGCACGATCGCATACAGACATTAGTGTTAATAATGTAAATAAGGAAATCTTGAGTACTCAGGTGGTAAGGTATTGGCAGTTGCTAAGTTGGTATTAAGCCAGCAGGCTGAAGTGGCAGTGGGCAGGGCACATAGCTGAACCGATGGCCGTTGGGGCAAAAAGGTTCTCGAGTGGAGACCACGTGACGGCAAGCGCAGCGTAGGAAGGCCTCCCACAAGGTGGACGGACGACCTAGCCAAGATCGCAGGGACGCGTGGATGCAGGCGGCTAACGATCGGTCGAAGTGGGAGTCAATGGGGGAGGCCTGTGTTCAGCAGTGGACCGCCTACGGATGACATGATGATGATGATGATGTAGGTATTGGCTTCGGCGCCGGTGGTCGATGTTTCAAACATGTGCATGTTGACTCACGACGTTTTCCTTCGCCGCAGATCTCCGCAATTAACAGTTTAATTGGTGCCGGCGGCCGGATTTGAACTCAGACTGCTCAAGTGCTTTAGATATTGAATTAAAACGTAGAGCATTGAGCTACCAGTTATCTCGCACATCAATCCTCTCAAATCTTGCCACTATTGTATATAATTAATTATGTTACCCTTAAAATATAAAATACAATAACGGAAGAAATCATAACGGATAATCAAGATACTGGTACAGTTATTTGGCGTCTTCTCTCATGCCCTCCACTATAGGGTTACGGAGCAGCTTATAATGTTGCAAGAGATGACAGGCTCATTCAGGCAAGTGCCACGAGCTCACATAAGACTGGTGTGATGTATTACTATCCCGTTTCGTCTGGTGAGTGATATAACCGAGGTCATCTTTTCTTAAGGCTGTTAACGCATGTGGAAGTTATCGGATGTTGCAGATTTCCATGCGGCGGTATTCATTTAACATCAGATAAATCGCCAGGTGACTTTTCACATAAAACAACCCCAGACTATCGGTCGGCAATGCTATACGTTTGCCAAGGGCAGCCTGTCCTAACTTACGCACGACACATGTACCTCGTTTCTCTCCATGCAACCTATCCAAGTGTAAAGAAGCTACAATATACTTTTATAGATGATTATTATAATGTAACTTTGCAGAAATTAATATCGTGGTGTCCATTTGTTATCATCTGAAACCTGGTATCTAGTCTCCCATTTTTTCTAGCAGAGAGGCAGCGTTTATAGATCTTTACGTCACTAATCGGTGACGGAGGCAGGACTATTAAAAGCAGCAGCGTAGATCTAACCATGGAATCTGCTGGAGAGCCTTCCAGATCAGGGTTCCTTGTACTAGGACTACTTACTCAAAATCGTCTGTTGCACGAATGGGCAGGTACTTTTGTCCGTCGAAAGGTTCTTACATAAAATTAGCGACGCCACGAAGGACACAATCGACTTAAAGTGGACTCAACCAAAACTAAAACTCGGTAAAAGTAAATTTTTTTAAAAAGTCCCCTTTCTCCTTCTCTCGCTATATCCATATCTCTTACTTATGAGCCTATATGTGATGCGTACTTGGAAGACTCAATTTTTGGCCCGTTTTTCCGAAAGTTTCGCCCATCGAAGCATGCAGTTGTTGGACAGAGCGGAGTCCGATTAGATTAGATCGGAAGCTTCGGATATATTCCTCGTTTGGGGTGTTCATAAATCGCGGGAGTCTTAGTCGGTGCGCCTGCTTCGGCGGGAAGATACATATTTATGAGGGCGGGGGGCGCGCGGACAATCGATATGCTTTGACGTCCCCTTTAATTGTTGGCGGGAATTTCGTCGGCGTCCATTCTTTCTCGCGCGCTGCAAGTTTCCAGAATTCTCCCCGTCGATAGCTCTCCTTATGCTCTCCTGGTAGTCTCATGTCATCTCTCTCACGCACATTTCCCAGATTTCGTAATATGGCATGCGTGTCACATGCCTTGTCAGACAATGGTGGTAGTTGCATTAAATTTTATCGTATGCTCAAGTGACATGTGGTCAAGTCGTCTCCCCGCAACACGACACCGAGCGCAAATGAGTCATGAAGAAATAATTACTGCACCGGTTTCGTTACAATGTTAATAATCTATAAAGGATGGAGATCATGAATTTCACCTATAACTAAAGTGGATAACCGATTTACGTAAAACAGGTGAATGAATTTGTTTAGGGTCCGTGTTTAAATGTTTTGATTTTGTTAGTAACCGTCAGTATAACTATTTATTTTTTATTTGGTACAAACTGAACGATCAGTTATGAAAGAACCATTTGATCGAATGTTAGATATACAAGTAATCTGAGTCATCGTGCACGCTTCATGTTATTTGTACGGCATTCAGGAGTTTATTAAGAGAATATTAAGTTTCGTCAAAAACGGTTCATTAAAACGTTTTCTTCAACTGAGGGCTATGCAGACATAACAGTCTGCCACTAGGCTAGCAGCAATCGAGCCAAGTAACGCTCGCAGCACGAAAGCGAAGCGCACAATGCAATTAGCGTGTTAAACATAATGAGGGCAGCACTATAAATCCACATTAGGCCTCCTTCGTGCCGGCACTGAAAAGTAGAGCCGCCGAGAGGGACGGCCGCATCCCCCGTCCCGCTCCCCCGGCCGACCTTTCAATTTTCGTACGGCGTTTCTTATTTAGTTTCGCGCAAATTATCTCCAATTCTTCATATTATTAAACATCTAGGGGGGGCAACTAGCCCCCACGGGGGTCGGGGTGGACGGCGGGGAGCGGGCGCGGGGGGGTGGTTTAATGACGGAGAGCGGTCATCGGCCCCACCTCCGTGTCCGGCACACTTGTTTCTTGTAAAATTTTTCCCCGATCTTTATTTTCCTTCGCCCAGTAGATCTATATAATTAGAGAGGGGCGCGGTGGGGCGCGGGGCGGGCGGTGTGCGTGTGTGCGTGCGCCCGCTAGGGTGGCGTCGGTGTGTGCGTGCCGCCTAAGTCCGGTTATTAGTTTTCTTCTTGCCCGGTTTCGTTTCGGGATGTGTTTTTGTTGGATTTCGATAATTTCGCGACAGCCGCGCCGTACCGCGGTGCGGGGCCAGCGGGGGGGAGGGGGGGAAATCAATATGTGCTCGGAATAAGACGGGGGCGATTTTAGCGGGGCATTATAAATAATAATTCCCCACATGGCAATTACGCGCGTAATTCCTTCTGCGGACGCTGCGCCGTAAATGAGAGTATCGTCGAAGTTCGGACGGTGACCGGTTCTGGCGAATGACGATGATCGTACGAGATCGAAGGAGATCGAACGGCTGAACGAACGGGCGAATGATAATGCAAAGGTGTACCTACGAATGGTGTTCTATGTATGCTTGGTCAGTAGTCGAGTTGATGGATTCGACTGCAACTGTTTGAACGACTAGTGACATTTGTGCCGAGTATGGGCAATCCCTCGTATTTTATGTTCGTAAAACACTTCCGCCTTGCGTAAGCTGATGATTACGCGTGGCAGAAAACTCTCGGTATTAAGCAGCAACATGTCAAAACTGAACCAATTTATAAAATATATATTATGTTTAAACCGACTAGGCTTAAACATATAAAATAAACATTGCAGGTCATATTTTTACACAACGTTATCTAAGTCATGAGCTAAGAGAAGCTTGTACTAGTACTAGGTAACTTATAAACGTAATATTTGTGTAAATAACTACATATAATAGATACGAGAAAAACATTGTTTTCACTACAAAACATTTTCTTGTAGCGGGGATCGAACCCACACCCTCTGGCGCAGGGGAACAGTACACCATCCAATAAACGAAGCAGATCAGTTTAGCATTGGCAATGTCTGCCCCCCGGTAACTTATATATATATATATATATATATATATATATATATATATATATATATATAAGACATTTAATCCGTCACTTAATCTGTACACAATTATGTTACATTTAGTTACAGATTAAATTAAAAAAAAAAACGACAAAATAATGAATAAAAAAATGTAGTGAAAGTAAAACAAAAATAAAAGGTACTTATAAATTTTAAAGTAGTGACGGAAAGGACCGTCTCAGCATATGCCGCGCAAAATTGCGGTTATAATAGGTACGAGTTTGTTTTCTCTTCGACCGGTATATGAAAACAAGGAGATTATCAGTTGACATGCATACAAAGTCATGACGTACAAGGTTGTCACCTACGTTGATAATTACGTATGCGTCAAGTGGTAAGCACGTCGCCTACACAACTACAGCTCACGATGCAGCCGCGAAATTTGAACACCGCACGAGATTATTTCTGAGGAATTACACTTGTTTTTTCTTTTGATATATTTGTTTTATTATTCCTAAAAGGTTGTGTGTAAATCCGGCATTTGAATTTTTAATACTCACTAATTGTTCACTCTTACAAGTGAGACGACTCTAATTAATCATCATGTCATAATATATGTAATATAATAATAAAATATAAAAATATAAAATTAAAAAAAATTTAATAATAAAATAAATAATATAATAAAATCATAATGTTGAAATCTATAAAGCCGTGCCACAGAGCATCGCTATGAAATACACTAAAAGCATTACCCCATCTGACGAGGCGTAAAAACTGTCGACTTTGCCGGAATGTCCGCCAGGTCGCTTTTATTATTAGGCCGATGTCAAATTTCGGTCAGAACTTTGCCATCACCAGTTCCGAGAAATTAGTCGAGTCTTCACAGCCCTCTCTTACGTGTTCGTATTCAGTACACAAGTCTACAAGTTATCCATTATAAGGAATTCGCTTAAAGAACATAAACAAATTATACAAAATATTAGAATTTTTACCGCGTCTTTTATATTAGAATCGCTTAATTAATCTGCCTTAGTTAATAATGTTCTTAAATAGTATCTTTCCGATGCGTATAAACTATGTACAGACTACATTGGGAATTAGAAAGTAATTGTTTCTCAATAGTCAGGTCACGATAAAACCTGAAAAAAATACACTTGATCTATTTATATAAGTGTAAAAAATTTACATTACTAGCATCCCTTATTAGCGAACACAAGTATAAAAATTGATATTTAAACGTGAAATGTATATAGAAAATTTAAACATATTAATAATGAACATAAAAATCCAAGACGAAAAGTATCATAATTTAATTTCGAGTTAAACAGCCAAACGGTGTAACACGACAGGAAATTTATTAAACTCATGTTTAAATTTTATATTGACGCCCGGTTTTTGAAACACTGATCATCGTAGATGTCAACTAATCAGCTGTCAAATGGCTTTTCATATTTCATTTTAGTTGCCAAAAGCATGGTTAAACTCTCTGAGTTGACCAAAATGATCTTCTTAATGATCAGAATGATCAATTCAGAGTTTAACTATCCTGTAGGCAACTAAAATGAAATTTGAAGAGCCATTTGGCAGCTGATTAATTGACATCTACGATTATAAGTGTTTCAGAAACCGGGCGTAAGTGACTAGCACTGTAAGTAAAAAAAAAACATAAACATCAAATGTTCTCTCTAAAATGGTACTTGAGTGTCGCCATAGTGTAAAGTTGCACACAAGATGGCGCCAAGCGATGCTTAACATACAAATAAAAGTAGATAATAATAGAGTTTCGCGCCATGAAAATATCGGGCACCTAGCTCAGTTGGCCATGGCATCTGGGTTGTGTAAATTTTTCAACCACTTACTTTTTACTACTTTTTTTTACCACTTTACTCACAAATAAATTTAATTTTGAGTGCATACTAAAACTAAAAGTAAAAATAGACATAGAGTTTAAGTAGTATATAATAAGTCCTTAAATCGGCGTGTTTATGTTGCTTAAGTGAAAATGCATGAAACCTAAGATTACAGAAAACTAGCAAATCACTAGGAGTCGGACCAGCGAGCGACCATGGATTGCTTGTTTCCCCACATTTAAAAAGTCCGAGCACTCTTCTCCAGAACAACGTCAAATAAGCTCTCATTTTAATTAATTGTATATTGATAACACACAGACAGAAATTGTAACGTCTTTCTTACTTACAAACATAGATATCATCATTTGGTAGATGTTCGAATTACTACTTACTAAAACGTGAATGTTTAAACCGAATGTTTAAAAATGGCGAGAAGCGCCATCTGTTACTCAAATTCGCAAACAATTAAAAACCACGACCAAAGCGACCTCTACATTTCTACATTCTCTATATTCTTTACAAGAGATTTCGTGGCTACTGCTCAGATATCTCAATGTTTTAAATGAATGATTGGTACGCCACAGTACGGTACTGTGGGTTCAAACACGTACGGGACCGTTGTTTTTTGTTTTGTTTTCTATTTTTAAAATATTGCCCTTACTTTAGGATGACATTATCCTGTGTTGTAAGAACGTTTTACATACATAAATTTCACGTGGACAAACTTCCAGGTTCGAAACAATAATCTGTAGGTCACACAAATAGTTGTCCCGGGTGGGATTCGAACCCACAACCCGACCACGGAGTCAACGCTAATTCTGAATGCACGCTGTGTCTGTGATTCTCATATTTGTGATAGTTTTCTTAGCTCGACGGTACCTCCTACAAATAATTAGCATTAGCAAATGAAATTAATTATTATTACAATAAAAACACAAACAACAATACAACAACAAACTACCACAAAATTGACGTTACTTATTTAATACTTTATTTCTCACTTTACACCACATTCAGGTTCTTTTTGCTGTTTTTGCATGAAATTTACTTAATTGCTTTATAGCTGCAACATTAATCAAACATATCATTATTAAATGTGACTTTTGGAAGGCTTAACAAATAAATACCTAAACATAATGAAAATGTTTAAACTGTTGGGCTAAGAATCTTGATTTTTTTTTAATGTGAAAAGTTGCCATGCGAGCAGACGGTTCACCTGATGTCCTGTCTTGTCCTGCCTGCCCTTTCACCTGTTCGCAGCAGGATCTGATGGATGCCACAAATTGTGGTGTCGAAGTGGCTAAGTTCTGGGCTGG